TGCAGGCACCGCATGTAGAGGCGTGCATTCTTGACCACAAAAGTGCAAGAGGTCATATGGCCAAGAAGTTGCAGACAGTCACCTACGGGCTGTTTTGCAACTTGGTGACAAGATTCTTTATGGTGTTGAATCTATTGGATGGGAGACATGCAAGTCCGGTTGTGAAATCGAGGTGAGTGCCTACGAACTCTAGACGTTGAGTAGAAGTTAATGTGGATTTGTTTTTGTTCATTTGTAGGCACAGACCCTGGGAGAAGTCGATGGTTATCGGTGTGGCTTGCATGGCCTCCTTGAGAGTCTGTGCCTTGAGCAGGCAATCGTCCAGGTAAGGAAAAATTATGACTCCTTTTTTCCAGAGGTGCGCCGTTGCCACCACGAGAATCTTGGAAAAGACGCGGGGTGCTGTAGAGAGGCCAAAGGGCAGAACCCTGTACTGGTAGTGATTTGATCCCATAACAAATCTGAGAAAATGCCTGTGGGTGGGGTGTATAGTTACATGAAAATAAGCATCCTGCAGGTGGAGGGCTGAAAACCAATCTCCCTGCTCCAGTGCTGGAATTATGGTTGTGAGGGTAACCATTTTGAATTTTTGCCTTTTGATGAACTTGTTGAATCGCCTGAGGTCAAGGATGGGTCGCCATCCCCCACTTTTCTGTCAAAAAGTAGTGGGAATAAAAATTCTTTCCCCTGTGCTGACCGGGCACCGTCTCGACTGCTCCTATTTGTAGATGATGTTGCACCTCTTGGTGGAGCAAGTGGTCATGAGGGGGTCCCTGAAGAGGGACGTGGTGGGGGGTGGGTATGGACAGGATGGGGATGGAATAGCCCAATCAGATGACCTCTAGGGCCCATCTGTCCATAGTGAGGGCTCACCAGTTGCGGTAGAATGGGAGTAAATGGTGACCAAAAAGTCTGATGGGAAGTATAAGCCCTGAAGTGTGTGGGAGGTCTTCTATACCCTTGACCAAGGCTTCAGATCTGCTTATTAGATAGAGGGGGTTGGGATGGTGCTGATATTGTGGGGTATCGTTGTTGATGCCTGGGTCTCTGGCGGTGTTGCTGGTCATACGGCCTCTGTTATTGTTATGTAGGCCAGGTACTGTGGGCACTGGTAAGGTTGATTCAGTAACTCCCCACTTAACATCCTCTCGCTTAACGTTGTTTCGATCTTACATCCCTGCTCAATTACAGAACATGCTCCATTTAAAGTTGTGCAATGCTTCACTATAACATCGTTTTGCTGCCTGCTTTGTCCACAGCTGGCAGCCCCCCCATCAGCTCCCCATAGCGCTTCCCGCCCGTCGGCAGACCCCGCGGATCAGCGCCTTCCCCCTCCTCCCCCTGCCTCCTGCCCACGGCAATCAGCCGGCTTGTGGTGTTCAGGAGGGAGGGGGAAGAAGCGAGGACTCGGCGTGGAGGCTCCCCATCCCTCCCGTGCCTCCTGAACGCCGCAAGCCAGCTGATGGCGCGCAGGCTCCCCTGCCTCCTACCCGCGGCAGAGTCTGCGCTCCTCCTCCCTCCCTCCTGTCCCCTGAACATCGCAAGCCAGCTGATTGCTGTGGGCAGGAGGGAGGACGTAGCGTGTGGAGTAAAAGGGGAGGGGGGGGAAGAGGCGGCATGGGCGGGCCGAGGGTTGAGCCCCGCCCCTCGTGCTTGCCGAGTAGGGGAAGCTGCCGCTGCTGCTGCGCAACATGCTTCTCCTAGCCTACAGCACCTTCAGCCTCCTTCCCTGCCTCATTATCTCCAGTGCCAGTGGGCTGTGCCTATGTGGAGTAAGGCGAGGGCATCTCCCAACTATAGTACTGTATTCTATGGCAAAAAAAATTTCCCTGGAACCTAACCCCCCCATTTACATTCATTCTTATGGGGAAATTGAATTCGCTTAACATTGTTTCACTTAAAGTCGCATTTTTCAGGAACATAACTACAATGTTAAGTGAGGAGTTAATGTACCTGTATTGTCTTCTAGTTGCCAGCGTATGGATGCCTAGGGATCTGAGCGTCGCTCTGGAATACTTTATGGTGTGCAGCACCTCGTTGATTTTTGCTGCAAATAACTTCTTGCCATCGAAGGGGAGATCCTCCATGGTGTTTTTTATCCTGTATGGGAAAGTATAAGCGGTAAACCATGAAGCCCAATGCATCACTATGGCAATCACGGTGGACCTGGCAGCTGTGTCTGCAGCATCAAGAGCAGCCTGCAATGTTGTGCAGGAAATAATCTGTCCTTCAGAAACTGCTGTTTTGAATTGTTGCCTCTTGTCCTCTGGGATGTCATTAATAAAGTCCACGAGTTTTCCGTAATTTCTGTGATCATATTTGGCCGGTAGGGCTGCGTAGTTTGCCACTCTAAATTATAGCATGGATAATGCATAAACTTTGCGGCCGAGTAGGTCCATTCTTTTGCTGTCCTTGTCAAAGGGAGTGGACTGGAATTGCTGCTGTTTGTTCTTTTGGTTGGCTGCTTCTACCACCAGTGAATTTAGTGCTGGGTGCATGAAAAGGAATTCTGGCCCCCTGGAGGGGACATAGTATTCCGGTCTACCCTTTTGCAGGTAGGGAGTATGGTGGCTGGGGTTTGCCAGATATTCTTGGCAGGGTCCATAATGGCTCCATTAACAGGCAGGGCAATCTTGGAGGTCGAAGGTTGCAATATGTCAGTCAGCTCACGCTGAGTCTCCGATACCTCCTCCAGGGTGATCTTGAGCTCATTAGCCACTCTTTTGAAGAGGTCCTGAAAATGAGTAAAATCATCCACTGTTGGGGGTGGAGGCATGATAGCCTCTTCTGGTGAGGTGGATGAATTATTAATTATTATTATTATTATTTGGAGAGGGTTCAGGTGCCTCCTCATCTGCATGCACCATTGCAGGTTGCTCCTGTCTGTCCGTCACAGAAGTGTGGACAGGTACAGGAGGAGATCTAATGTCGCCTCTGAGTGGGCTATACCAGCTACTGAGGTGCCTGCTGTAGGACCCCCATGGGTTCCAATAATGCCATTGTCCGGGGAAGGGCATGGGTGGTTCCATCCACGGGTGTCCATACCAGGGTGGTAAGTCCTTGGAATATGAACCCCTTGGTCTCCTTGGTCCCATGCTAGTGGGAATGTAAAGGGGGGAGGAATGGTATGGTGAAAAAAAACTCCCTCCACTTCATCATCCTCATCACTAGAAAAGTGAGAGGGAATAAGGGGTATCTGTCGGTGCCGTGCCTACGGTCCCAGTGAGAGATTGGTACCAAGTAATGGGGAATCTGGAGTTGGCGAGATTAGCAAATGGCTGGAATGAATAAATTGTGGTGACGAGGTAGAAGGAGCTGGAATATATGGCGCTGGGTGTGGTGGCAGTGCCATAGGTTCGGCCGGTGCCGATTGGCACGGCGCCATATGCGGAGTCATAGGTGGTTGAGGTGTCAGTGCCAGGACAGCAACTATAAGTGTGTGCGGCACAGGCAGGCTCAGCTGAATAGGCACCGAGTCCTTTGCGGTGCTGTGCTGCACCGTATTAGAAGAGGCAGGCAACTTTAAGCCTGTAGCCTTGGCACCGGAGCGGTATGTACTGGCAGCAGCTGGGGTACGGATGCTGGAGCATCGTATGTGCTGAGCCGTGGAGCGGTCAGCACCAATGAGACAGACCTGGTTGGAGACCATTTGGATACAGGCTGGTCTCTGTGAGGTGATGAAGCTGGCCTTTTTTTGTTGTTTTCTTGTCCTTGGTGAACTTAGGAGATCTCTGTCTCAAGTAGGACTCCTGACCTAGGTCAGAGGCAGGTCTGAGGGACTTCTCCATTAGAATTAACTTGAATCTCAGGTCTTTGTCCTTTTGTGCCCTAGCCTTCAGTTTACTGCAGAGGGAACATATTTGGGGGACGTGAGACACCCCCAAACAGCGAACACATTGAGAATAGCCATCAGAGATAGGGATGGTCTCTCTGCACGTAGTGTATCTCTTAAAACCTGATAAGCCAGGCATAGTATAAACTATCTAACTGACAGAAAAAAACTGGGAGGGGGGAAATGAAACTTATCTGACTAAAAAAAAAAAGCCACCCTAGATAAACTGTATAAACAACTATCTATCTATCTATCTAAAGCGAGAAATAATTGAGTGAGACTGTTGAGCTCCATCTCAGGCTGGGGACAGTAGAGCAGGAACCGAGGAGCTCGGGCCGCACGTGTGCCTTATTGAGGCACATTCAGCGCGTGAGGCAGGCACGCGCACGAGCGGCCCGTACAAGTACTGCTGTAAAAATCTCCAAGCGAAGGCACAGGGGTGCACCAAAACCTGGAATGGAGTATTCACAGGGACATCTCTCAAAGAAGAACATTTCGTTCTGTAAGGAAGATTCAGACACATTCACTTCTTAGAGCGGAGGTCGAAGGAAGAAGAACACAAAAAATCGACCCAAATAAGGTTGGAAGATGCAATTTTGAGGGATTTAAAAAGCCTAAATGCTCCCTTACTGACTCTTGCCAAAGGAAGATGACTTGCACAACCATTCAAGATGGAAGCCTGCTTCATTCTACATGCCACCATAGCTACATCATAGCCATGTGATGCTGCTCACTACTTAGCTGCCTTAATTTCATTTATTCTAGGTAAATTCTAGGGAGGTCTCTTAGCTCAAACCCCTTCATATTTGTAGGGTTTCTCCTGCTACTACTTAAGTCAGGTAATTCTCTTATAGTCTCACAGCATATTCAATTAAAATTAAAGAGTACTCTGGTCTTGCAAATATATTCATGAAATAATAATTTTTTCTAGCCTCAAATTTTTTTAAAATTAGGCTTGTTTTTTCTTTTTCAAGATCTTAAATCAAGATGAAATATTGGTTCATATTAAAGAAGTTTAGGATTCTCCAAAGACTTGGAATCTGTATCCAAAATGTAAAGACATTTCTCATCTACCTAAATCAAACAAAAGGCTGCTGATACACAGCACAATACTGTGCTGCCCAGAGCATCATCAAGGGCGCTCTGTACGCACGAACACAAACGTTACCTGTTTCTGAGGTATCCCCTGCTTTCTCCAACTTTTCTCCCCGTTCCTCCTCCGATACATTAGACAGCTGTCTTTTCACCTCTTTGTATGAACTTCCTCCAGATGTTACACTTGCCACAGAGATCAATGGGATGGCCTGGCTCTCCTGAGGGAAATGGGAGATTAAGATTTACACAGATTCACATGTGTACACAGTTTCCTGTGTCTTGCAGTGCTGCATATGGGGCAGATTACATGTTAGGATCTTTAAACAAGGGGTAGATAACTGTAGTCTCTTTGGGCTTTCCAGCTTTGGATGCGTTATTCAATGTCATCTTTGTGTAGCAAAACCTAGGTTCACACGTACTCTGCAGCCAACATAACATCATTAGCCAGACATACCTCTTCTTTCTTTTCTCAGTCTCACCTTACACACAATATATTTGTACTCTCTCTGATGGAGTGTAGCAGGCATTCGATGCCCCCTGCTGGAAGCCCTACCGCCTTGGCACACCCCATCCAAAGGTGGGGCTGGGGTCGGGGTGGGGTGGGGTGCAGGAGTCAGGGGAGAGGGCTGGGTGTGTGTGAGGGGGGTGCAGGAGTCAGGGCAGGGGGCTGGATGTGTGTGAAGGGGGTGCAGGAGTCAGGGCAGACTGCTGGGGTCGTGGGGGTGCTCCCAGCCCCCTGCCCTGAGCATCTCACAGCAGAGGGCTGGAGGGGGGATGCCCTAATTCCACCCCCTTCCCCAAGACCCCGCCCCTGCCTCTTCTCCACCTCCTCCCTTCCTCACTCCGGCAAACAGCTGATCGGCGGCAGGGAGAGGGGGAAGGGCAGGAACGCAGCACGCTGGGGCAAGAGTCGGGGGAGAGGGGAGCTTGGATGCCAGCGGAGCCTGCCCTGCTGCAGCAGGACAGAGCCCTAGGAGCCGGCAGCACCAAGCTTCTGCCCCCAGGAGAGAGTGGGAGGAGGAGAAGAGCAGCCAGGCCAGGGCCCCTTCGGAGCATGGGCCTGATGCCATGGCGCTACTGGTGCCATGGTAAATCTGGTACTGCCTCCAGTGGCTAGTAGGGCCAGGTGCAGGCCAAAGCTAATCAGGTCCCAACAGGCAAGACAAAAAACTAAAATTAGAGTGAGCTTGCTGTGTGAGACACTCCACTGGTTCAGGCTAACCTGTGACAGTCCCATTAGCTCTGCAGAGCCTCTGAATTTATGAGAAAGAGATTCTAACTCAATTATGCAAAGTGTGGGCCATTGATGATCATTTAGAACCTTGATGACTCCCATTGATTAGGACAATTGGTTGTAAATGGCTCTGTTTACTTGCAAGACTTCCTGTGTTCGTGTAAGCCAGCTCAGGAAGAATGGTGGAAAACATCTTAAACCTGCTAATTTTCCATTTAGAAGGAGGGGTGGGAATCCAGAGAGACAAAAGATTCTTGTCCTTGTGCCAAAGCTATAAAAGGGCGTGGAGCAGAACAAGGCGGCGGCAGTCATGAGAACACCCCTGTTTTTCACCTAAGATGCCTGCTGTAACTAACAAGGACTGTACCAGGGGAAAGGATTGGGCCCAGACTAGGAAGGAGTCTAGTCTGTGAAAGAAGCTTATTGGAACATCTCTAAGGGTGAGATTTACCTGTAAACAGTTTCTTAATGTATTAGGCTCAGACTGGCATGTTTTATTTTATTTTGCTTGATAACTTACTTTGTTCTGCTTGTTATTACTTGAAGCCACTTAAATCCTACTTTTTAAACTTAATAAAATCACTTTTGTTTATTAATTAACCCACAGTAAGTGATTAATACCTGGGGTAGCAAACAGCTGTGCATCTCCCTCTATCAGTGTTATAGAGGGCAGACAATTTATGAGTTTACCCTATATAAGCTATATACAGAGTAAAACAGATTTATTTGGGGGTTGGATCCCATTGGGGTCTGGGTGCTGGCGATAAGTGACCTGCTGAGCAGTTTTTGGTTAAAGTCTGCAGCTTTGGGGGCGTGGACCAGACCTGGGTCTGTGTTACAGCAAGCTAGCGTGTCTGGCTCAACAAGGCAGGGTTCTTGAGTATCAAGCTGGCAGGGAAAATGGTCTCAGAGGTAATTCCAGCATGTCAGGTGACAGTCCCAAGGGTGTCTATGTGACCGAACCCATCACACCATACTATCAAATGTTTAGTAAGATCCCCAAGTTAATGAGAAAATGAGTCAATGCACATTCTGACCATACTCTTCAGGGCCCAAGATAAGCCACAAGGCAGACTTGAGTAGGGTGCAAAAGTCCACACAGAGTTAACTGAAGCAGGTCCTAACCCTTCCAGGGCAGAGATTCCCTGCAACAGTTTAGTTAGGACCTTGACAGGCCTATCCTGGATAGCACAAGAGCCCTTTTTGTAGTAAAGCAAAGAAATAGTCCCCAAAAAACAATAGTCCTGTGCCAGACCTATGATCCTCCAGGGAGTTCTGGCAGGCAGCAGTCTCTGCAGAGGTTCTGAGCTGGTCCTTTCCTCAGGGACCAAAGGACAGGAGTCTGTGCTCCTTGCTGGTCAGCCACCTACTGAGTTGTTCTCTTCCCTTTTAATTACCCGCTTCATCACCAGACACTGAGTGCAGGTGTAACAAGGTGAGGCTGAGTGGGCCCATTGCAGATCATTAACCCTTGCTCACTCAGAGTGGCGTGGTATGCCCCCATCAGATACACCTACAGCCATGAAATGACACGTTTTCAAACCTCCATGTGGCAGTGCAACGACTCACCAGCGCGGCGCCTCCTGCTGGTCGTCCTGGGAATTAGCTCTTCCAGCCCAGAGCACCCTCTGCAGGCTGGTGTCTCGCCTGCCGCTGGCTCCCGTGTCCCTCCTGGACCCTGGTGCCTCTCTATGTCAGGGTTCTTCCCCCAGCAGTAACCCACAATCTGGGTCTCCCCACCCAGGGGAACCCCCAACCCCCTATCCACACCTTGCCTCGGTGGCTACTACCAGCCACCATCTAGCCCCCGCTCACTGGGGCGGACTGCAATCTGAAAACCACTCATCACTGGCAAGATGGGGTTTGGACCTGCTGCCTTTCCCAACCCTGGGCTGCACCTCTGCAACCCCATACCCTTCCCAGCCTTTAGCAAGGCCTGCAGCCTGGGAGTTTTCCAGGCTGGAGCTCCCCAGCTCCTCTGGCCTTCCCCCAGCCCTGCTCCACTCTAGGTACCCTGCTCAGCTACCAGGCAGTCAGCCCTTCTCTGTCCACTGCTAGAGAGAGACACTTGTTCAGTCTCTGGCCCTCAGCCCTCTTATAGGGCCAGCTGTGGTCTGATTGGGGCATGGCCCCACCTGTGGCTGCTTCCCCCAATCAGCCCAGCTTTTCCCCTGCCACAGCCCTCTCCCAGGGCTGTTTTAAGCCCTTCAGGGCAGGAGCGGGGTGACCACCCCGCTACACTCCATCACATCTTCAATCCCATTTATTTTAAAATTCAAAATATCTAATTCATAAAATCATAGAATCATAGAATATCAGAGTTGGAAGGGACCTCAAGAGGTCATCTAGTCCAACCCCCTGCTCAAAGCAGGATCAATTCCCAGCTAAATCATCCCAGCCAGGGCTTTGTCAAGACGGGCCTTAAAAACCTCCAAGGAAGGAGACTCCACCACCTCCCTAGGTAACGCATTCCAGTGTTTCACCACCCTCCTAGTGAAATA